TCTTTTATAATATATAACTACAATATAAAACAATTTATATTACTTACGCAGTGACAAATATGTTATTATTATGATCTATAATTTGCTGTCCCATCAAATTAGCTACAAACATGTATATTAAAACAACAGATGCAATTATGAAGCATACGATAAATTCTTCAGTACTATATTCGAATAATATAATATAAAAGATCTAGCAAACGAATATATTAGTAAGATTAACCTGAGAGAATATAATATAAACGTAATTGATAATTATTTAGATTAGGGGACACCTCACCGATGACCTTGACCTTGACAACATATGTCAAGGTCAAGGTCATCGGTGAGGTGTCCCCTAATTTAAATAATTACCAAAATTTCAATAGATTTTCATGTTCAACTCGCCAGCCTTTATAGAATCTAGCCCCTCAACTTAAAGATTCATCAAATTTATTATATTATAAAAAATCAAAAACTGTATCAAGTGAATTTCTGACATTAAAATTAATAGTTATATCTTATTTTCGACATAATCATTTTTATTTAATATTCAAAATTCCGATATTTCAATAATTTTAAATGAGGATGTATGAATTTGAAAGTTATGTCAATGAATAAAAATATGTATACCTATATCTCAAAATTGAAATTTAAATAACCTTTTTGTAAATTATTATTGTATATATTCTTAAAATATTGATCTGATCTTCATCAATGTTTATTAAAAGAAGACATAAGAATTATTAATCTAAAGCAACGTAACGAGATAATATGTGCAATCATTAACGTTAATTCATAAAAAACAAAACTTACTCGAAAAATATTTAGGCTCAAAGAAAGAACTCCGACTGTTATTAAAAGCATGAATGAGATTTGAAATCTAGATACAAAATAGTTGGAGAACCTAAAAACAAATGTATGTTATTACGAATGTTATATATTTATTACAAAATATGTAGATACCAACGTCATAGATTTTCGATGCATATCTATAGCACGAATTAGACCTTTATAAACCAAAATCTCTTCCTGCATACTAATATTGTTTGATAGATAAATATGTATCGCTCTCTCGATACGGTAACTGTAAATAATTTAATATAATTACCCCAACTATAGTAAGAAGTAAAAATAATTTTAAAGAAATAAAAGAAAACAATAGCTTGTGCGTGCGTGCGTGTAAAATATCAAGTAATAGACTCATAATCATTATGTAACGAATGGAACACACACACACACACACACACACACACACACACGGGCGGGTGCAAGAGGGTGGCCTTCGCCCCTCCCCCCCCCCTCGCACCCACACCGTCGATAGAGGTCTGCCCCGACAGTACTATCATAGCAACAGTACAATCGTAGAAGTCGTGTGCCCCTGTGCAGGGGAGGGGGGTGGTAAAAGTTACTTCGCGTAGAAAGTTCAACGTTTCTGAACAGGGAAAGGTGTAGAATTATACTTGATATCATACGTATATAAAATGAAACGTATATTTTAAAACTATGATTGTTAATAACTTTTTAACAAAGGACGAGCGACGGCTAAAACCTGTTGTAGGTTACTCAGGGTCATGACCTTGATAACATATGTCAAAGTCAAGATCATCGGAGGGTGGTCCCCTTTTGTAAAGGTTTACCAAAAAAAAACTGATTTCTACAGACCCTCTCGAATGACCGTCTCGAAACATTTTTCTCACTACGCCACTGTCATACTATATAGATTTTTATTACTTACTGTTAATTGTGTATATACACATTATAGTCTTATAATACTTTGTTAAATTTGTAATTATTCCTATGTTTATTATTTTACCTAGCAATTTTAAACATTCCGCAGGCATGTTGAAGAAATGCAATGAGTAATGTTCCTGTCGCAGATATTACTGTACACCCTATAGCCACAGTTGCGTTTACATGGAAAAATAATAAGTAAAAATATTTTTGTTGATTGATAAAATATTCTGTTGAGATTTGTAGGTGAAGTGATCGAGATACGTTTGCAGATAATACAATATCGATAAAAGTCGTCCACAGAGAGGTGCCAATAAAACCAGATATGCTACAAACAAGAATTACTAAACAATATTATAAAGTGTGTGTGGTAATATAAAATATATTTTTTAATACGTTGAAATTTTATAAAATTATATTACTATAAATATCATATGTCTAAAATACGTTATACATATATGAAATTTTTTACAAGTTAACTAAATATACAATGAATTTAACAAACAGATTAATTTCTTGTTCTATTATTTTTAATAATTATTATTCTTAAATATATCGATTTGAAGAATAAAGTTTATTTAATAACGTTTATTGAATATTTGATATATTAGATGATATATACATTTATACGGGAAGTGTTTCATTTTTATTTACTACTTCCAAATATTTTTTTATTTTAGAAAAGAATTTAGGTAAATGATTCAGGTAAACACACGTAGAACAATTTCGAGGAGGAACCTATCTTCAACACGTCGTTTTTCTTTCATTGGTGGAAGCGCGAAAGGATATGAAGGTCACTTTCACTTTTTAAAATAGAATTATATGTATTTTTTTAAATAATATAAATCCTCTATTCTGCATATACAAATTTAAGTTAAAATATGGAAAAACCCGATTGCTTAAAATGAAATGAAATATTTTATACTTTATTTTAATATATCTTAATACGAAATATTGAATGTCTCGTTTTAATAAAAATATTATTAAATAATTTCCAACATAAAACGAAATAAAACGATGTCTTACTTGTTAACACAATCGTATACTGTTTCGCATTATTTCCATATTTTTCTATGATAGCAACTTCGTTATTGTCGTTTAAATCGTTATAGATATGTTGAAGTTGTTCCATTAAATTTTTTATCTATCCTATCAATATATTTTTATATTATATGTCTTATTGTTAGTAAAATTTAAAGAAATGATAAATAATATTATAAATATATATATATATTTTTTTTTTTACTAAAATAGTTATTTTAACAAATATAGTAGACAACTTGCCGTTTGACTGTTAATATAGAAAGAATTATATTTTATAACAAAGCTGCTAAAAGCAAATGCAGTAGAAAGAACTTTAATGATTAATTCAGTAGAACATGTTGAAGTCAAAATTGTTGTAAGCTGTAAATAATAATTTTTGTAAGAAGAAATGAAAAAAACATTGTTTTCTACTTTAACATATTTGAACATAAGTATTTTATACAACAATTTTTATCAAGTTGTATAATTACGTTTCTTGGGTTAATTTACATTTAAATTTATTATTAAAATGCCAACATTACGTAAACATTGCGATTTATTTCATCAGGGATGAGAGCAATCTGGTACCGTGTCAGATTGGTACTGATGAAGTAAACTTCAATGTTTACAGAAAACATATCATTTTAATAAATCTTCTTACCTGAAATATAATACAAGTTATCAAGATGCTAAGTATACAGATTATTTGCAATCCAACAAATTTTGATTTTTCATATGGCCACAAACCAACTATCAACAAGAGAGTTCGATTTAGACTGAAATATCTATCCATGACATTGATCATGTCTCAGCTAGTTCTAAAATGCGTTTAACAGCATTGAAGTCAACAAAGTGCTTTTATTCCCACCATTCAGTTAATCGATTAAGTGTTATCATTTTTTTTTCTTTTAACTTAGAACATATTCCACAATTCAAGTCAATTTCAATAATTCAGCCAATTAGACTAAATTTACTTTTTTAGACTTTTAGAAAATTTTTTAAGTTTTCAATGGAAAAAATACTGTGAAATATGTAATAAAATACTATTATAATATTACAACCCTCGCAATTTAATATTGCTTTTTTAAAATATTGTCGCCGTTTAAGTGTTCGATTCAATTACGAAGAAATTCGACAGATGTTCTTTTCTCGTAGAATAACATCTATAAGAAAAATTGCGTAAAGCATAAAGTAAATAATAAAACCAGCGCAAGCTCTGTAGTTACTTTTTCAATAACGTGTATTCTCATGTTCTATTCTAAAATACGCTCTTGTAAGTTACGTTTGATTATTTAGGGCCACTACTAGCAACTTTAAAATATAGTAAATTAATTATAAAATTATCAGTTCGTATTTACATCTTACTTTTAACAATAAATGCGCGCATATATTTTACGCTACATATTTTTAACGTAGTTGTTAAAAATAAAGTGTAAATTTTAACTTAAAATCAATAAAAACGTATAGTGGACTTTCTAATGTCTAATTTCTTTATCTCTAGATAACTTTATCCAGAAGATATCTCCAGGAATACAATAGAAATATCTCTTGGATAAAATTATCCACAATTTATCTAGAAGTGAGGAAACTGGACGTATATAAGACATGTAATAATGTTAAAATTAGTATTTTTATACAAAAAATAAATTTGCATTGTGTACATATAGATAAGTATATGAAGTATGAGCATAGACTATTTTATGAACGTAATTAATATTGTTTTGTATACTTTTGTAGTATCTACTTCGTTCTCCGCGTGGAAAAGAAGATATCTTAAAATATGACAATATGACTAATTGTAAGTAAAAAGTTTTTGCAAACTGGACATAATAAAAATTTTCTTATTGTTAAGCACGTTTCATTTTATTAGTATTTTTTTGAATTTAACTTCTTTTCTTTTATTTTAAAAAATTATTTAAAATAAGTTATCTTGTACATAAATAAATATCGTGTAAATAATTTTTTATGTTATATTGGATATTTTTTGGACTTTTCTTTATTAATTATGTATGCGAAGTACAAAATAGAATCTAACAGAAAAATCACATAAATTTTCATTCAACAACAAGAAGAAGAAACCTGTTACATTGTATACGATATAAAATTAAAATATAAATAAATAAAAGTGAAGTTCCTTTATTTTTTAAAATTAAAATTGAAAGCATATTGAAAATGAAGATCAATATAGGATCATGTTTTAATACAGCCTATTTTACAATTAGCTGCATTAATATTACGATAAATAAACTTTAATTATATTCGGGATACGTCACGATATAAAAAATACATTGCTTAGCGATGCACTTTTGTATACAGAGAGGGGATTGCAGTTTTATTTGCTCAAAAAAAAGAAATATTAACTAATTTTTTTGCAAGTAAAAGGTTATAAATGTTTTATGGCACATTTTTATTTGACGTTAAAGCATCATTGCTCGAGCTTTCATCTTCGATATTTTTCATATTGTTAGCAGCGGATGACGATTCAGGTACCTACGAAAAAAGATTAAAATATTAGGAAATAAAAATTGAGGATATTATCTATAAAGTTATTACATACTTTTACCTGATGAGGTAGATCGGACAAGGTGCATGGTAACCTACAGCTAGGTAAAACGTCTGGCATAGGTGGAGGAACCGGCGGTTCACCATAAGTATTATGAAGTTCCTCTAATCTTGTGCAGAGAGCAGTACCACGTTTACTCGTAGCGTTCATTTTTTTCATAAGCCAATCAGCCTGTTCCTCCAAACGTTTCAATCGATCGGCCCGTGTCGATAAAATTTCTTCTGGAGTTCGAGGCTTAGAAACTTCTTTTTCTGTTTGCGCGCTTACTTCGCTTTCCTGTAGCTCGTCTTTAAACACCGATGTAGACGAAGGCATAGAACTAATGTTGGCCGTAGGAGATTCTCGGACCGTATCCAAACTCGAAGATGAATCCACGGAGATGCTATCAGAATCTACGATGTTGTCTATTAGTTTGGAAGATCGTTGCGCCGTACCTTCTATCGACTCCTCTTCTTGACTTGATACTACTGACGAGGAAGACCAAACGTTTGACGAGGAGATAGAATTATCCGTAAAATTTTCCATTTCTGTCGCGGTCATACCAAAGACTGGAGCAAGAAAACGATTAGACGGGCCCATGATTAAGGGATCGCTAAACTGCACGCTTTTTATTGACGAGGACGATACATTAGATATAGGAAAAGGTCCAATGGAAAAGACAGACATCGTGTTGGTTGTATTTGTAACAGTAGTACTGAGTGTTTGAGAAACGGGCGATGACGGAATACTTTCGGATTTTATTGCCTCACCGTCATCGTCTTCATCACGTTGTTTTGACAAATTTCTGGTCGACGAATCATATGATTCACTATTAGACACTGTTGAAGGCAGGTCAATAATTGTAGTTGTTTGTTTTAATATTTTCACATCGGGTGACGAATATTGAGATTCGATAGTCGGAGATTGCCAGTTATTGTCATTTAAATCTGTCCTAGAAGTTGTCGTTTGATCAGTTTTTGTGACATCGCTGGTTTCAAGGACTGAATTGTCGCATGGATCTTCGAAAGACGTTGTCATATTCTCTCCCGAAGCCAAGACATTCTCACTTGATTCTCCATCAATTTTTATAAGATTTTGTATAACGTTGGTGAGTGCTTGATCCAAAGGATCCAGAATCTCTTGCGTACTTTCCATAATGCTCTATTCAAAATTATATCGATTAAGTCATCAATAAAATAAAAATTTAAATACCATTTGCTGCAATTTTGCTTACATCAGCTTCCGTCATGTTAATAAGTTCCGGATGCACGATTTCTGCTTCGTCTAATTCCGCTTCGGTTTCTGGAGTCGGTGTGCGTTGTTCCAAAGTCGCCGAGGAACCAGTCTTCGACTCTGATAATTCAGTATCTGTCGGTTGTTCGGATTCTGTGTCCGATGTAGGCGCTCTAGAATTCTCCTGCATTAGTTTAAGCAATATTTTATTTTAAAATAATGAAAAATTATAAAAGCTCGTATAAATAATTATTATAATAAAAACCTTTCGTGTCCGTCTGCGCGGGCCGTGTCTAATTCGTCCCTCAATTACTTCTTCTTCTTCGTCAGTATCATCACCTCTTTCATCACTGAAACCGCTTTCAGCGCTGTATAAAATGATTAAAATATGAGTTAAGAATTGCAGAATAATCTTCGTATTAAATAATAAAATAATAAAATTAATTCTGCAATTCTCTTTAATTTTTCTATAATGGAATACTAAAATATCTTGCATAGTTTTGAGATATCTTATTAAAAGAAAAGATCTGATACTATTTTTAGAGTTTCTAATAACTAATAATAAAATTTTAAATACCGAGATATTAATTAAAGTAAAAATATTCTTAAAGTCTGCTTAAAAAAATAAAATAAATTTTCAATATTTTTTATTCTTGTTATTTAAGGGCATTTCATTATATTAGTATTAAATTAAAACAGTAATATATACAATAAAATTTTAAATAAATGACCTATTGAAAGAGTCATGAACAGCTAAAGCTTTTCGTGCAGCGAATTCGCGACGTAAATTTCTCCATTCCCGTTCAGTATTTGTGTTTTTTTGTCTTGCCGATTCCCATTTCTCTCTGCAGTATTCTAATTCCTGTTTTAATTCTTGCAACATTTTTCTCTTCTCCTGCAACTCGTATCTTAATATCTCTTCATGCGTGTGCAACTGCTGATGTTGCATCTGCATCCGGCCAACAATATTCCATGTTTTTGTCAATTCGACCGATACCGTGGAAAGTCTCTTCTCCTAGATATAAAAGAAGCAATAAATTTTGTACAATTTCGTATCATATCATATCTCATATAAAAGACTTAGAACACCATTTACCTGTTCGCCCAGTTTACTTTCCAAATGAGTGTTCAGCTGCTTCATGCGGTTCATCTCTTTCTCCAAATGTTTTTTCTCCAGGATTAATTCCTTCAAACGAATATACGTTTTGCTCACGGATATTACCAATCTTGGGCCGGCCGGAGTGTCAACAGACTTGTAGCAGCTGTTCGGGTCAGAACAGGATGCAACGGAAACGCTCGGAGAGGTCACCGCGTGACAACTAAGTAGTTCCAATAAAACGCGCCACACCTACAACGTAATTGCACAATTATTTTAACAAAGTCAATCTATGTATTAAGCTTTTGAAAGCACGCAATCATATAATTGTCAATATTACGGTGACACAGTATTTAAATTAGTATTTATAAATATATAGAAATTATATTAGGAATTAATTATTATTTGTAACCTTCGGTAAATTATGAGCGATATCTTCTTCTTGAAGATCATCTTCCTTTCTATCAACTTCGTCAACATTTTCTATACTATTGTCTTCACTTGCATGTTTCTGGGACGCTTTACCGCCTTCGACTTGCTCAATCAAATCTAAAAGAAGTTTAGGAAGAGCTGCTGCTTCGGTACTTTCTTCCCTGGCTATCTCACTTATAAGATCGTGATTCTCCTACAGCGTTAAAATCAAATTAATTATTATCGTTACTTTTGTTATTTACACTCTCTTTCACAAAATTTAGTATAAATTTTTTAAATAAATATTTAAAATAAATTTAATTATTTCTCTCTCTTTTATAATTAATTATAAATTGTAAATACTAAATCAGTATTGCAATACCTGTAGCAACTGAGTTAATCGATCAAGATCCATGTCCGCAGAAGAAGCTCCGAGCAACATCTGCGTGAATAATCCATTAATGAGAGACATCTGATTTTGAAGATCTCTGCAATCTGCCTTGGTTAATCCCAATTGCGATTCTAAGTTCGTGATTTCCGAGTCTTGAGTGTCGACCTGGCGCGTATAATATAACATAAGAATCTCAAATAATTAAAATGTGTGAAATCGAACGGTAATACCTTAATACCTTGTCTTCGGCTCTCTTAAGCTCCTCTTCTAAATTCTCCGATTTTTTAAGAACATATTCCATTTTTTGTTTCACATCCGTCAGCTCCCTAGTCGCGGAATCTTTCAACTCGGTCAAAACCCTCAATCTCTCGTTGTAAAGACTTTTCAACGCGTTTATATTCTCCAATTGTCGATCGCATTCAATTCCCGCGTCATCTTGAATTTCCAGGAAACTTCTATCGCCCAATCTAACCAGCAGTTGTGCTAGATAGTTCTTCAACTCATTGGTTTGACGATCTCGCGCAATGAGAGACGTGCGTGTCTTGTTGGTCACTTCCATCAAACAACGAATACGTTGTCGGTGACGCTCTGGATCGTTCTCCAGGTGATAACGAAGATCATCCGTCTTCTCAATTTGATATCGCACGTCTCTCCTTAATTCATCAGATACCTGAAATAAACCTATGTTTATTATGTGTACTTATTTACGAATTTTAAGCAAGTAAAACGTATAGCGGACACAAACTTTTAGGATACGCGTCAATCGTTGCGCTTCCGCGCGTTTTAATGCTTTCTCGCTTTCATCCGTGTGCTTGCGTTCTTCTTCTTTCATCATAGTCTTCACAAAATCGCTATTCGCGGAATCGAGATATTGCGGATTTCGATTACTACAGACCGAACGTAACTGAGTCAACATGTTCGACGTTTCGGAATGAGACTTCTTCTCAGCATCCAATTCTCCTCGAAGTCTTTCCATCTCAGATGAGACCGCCGCGATAGCCCTATGTCTAGCTTCTCTTTTCAAAGTTAATTCTTTTCTAAACTCGTCCATACTGGAACTGGCAGGATTTGGGTTCGATATGTCATCTATTGATTCGACAATATCTACAGCACATAAACATCTAATTATATTTTGCGAGTTAAAAGAACAATACAAAAGAAATTGAGAGATAATATAAAATATACCAATATCTTCTCTTGAAACAACATCATCTTCATTTCTTCTTTCAGTCTTCATAATCTCTTTCAGTCTTTGAATCTCCTGCAAAGCGTCTTCAAGAGCCTTAATTTGTTTCCTTTTATCAGAAAGTTCATCGGACAGTTGTGTTCTCAATTCTGATATCTTTTGGCTTTCCACATTCTTAATCCGTTCAGTATCGAGCAATGATTTGTGCAGGTTCTGTTCCAAAATTGAAATTCTCGCATCGGCAGTGTCTTTTTCCGATTGAAGGATATCGATCTCTCTCAGTAATTTCTCGATTTCTTTCTTAGCGCAGTCTAAATGTTTCGTCAGTTCGTCGTATTGTTGTCTGCTTTCATGCAAATTGGTTTCCATTGTTACGTATCGCGTTTCTAATTTCTAAAAAAAGATAATTTTTAGTTATCTAATCTATATATTTATTGTTTTATTTTAAATTAACCATTTTTTATATTATATTGATATTGTAATGTAACCCTTTACAGAAATTTAATACTAGTTGATTCAAAATTGAAAGACTATAATTTATTACTTATTTTAAATATTAAAAGCTCTGTTCAATGTTTCTATAGTATTCCAAACAAATTATTAATTACAACTTTTCGGTAATAAATTAGACAGTATTAGATTTTCTGTAAGAAACGTCTTTCGTTTACTAAACTAAAAATAGCAAGAGTATGTATGGTCAAGATTTTCCAAATTAAAAAATCTTAGAACATCGTACCTCGTAATCTATGCTTAATTTTTCTACCAAATTTTTCTGATCCGTCAAGCTGCACAGTAGTCTTTCGTTCGCACTTTGAAATTTCAATCGATCCGTTTTTAATTTTTCAACTTCTTCGGATAATCTGAATATTTCTTTGTCTTTTGTAAATATTTCTTCACTTGCTGAATTTCTTGTCGGATCTTCGTCATTTCTCAACCTTGCGCGTCTTCTGCGCATTTTATCTAAATCTACGTTCATAGAACACAAGTTTTCGTTTAACGTAGGAATATTCGTCTCGAAATCATCGGAATGAGCACTACAGTAAGTATGAAAATCCGTTTCCTTGCTGGCAGTGCCTCGATGATCACCAAAACCGTCATCGGGTACTTTACCAATGGCTTCCGTCACAGTGTAACTTGTTTGTTGCTCGGAGAATTCACAAAGCGGTTCTGTGGAACTCGAACAAGAATTCTCGTTCTTTATATCTTGAGTTTTCAGCGAATTCTCCGATCCATCCGTTCTAGAGCGCAGTTTACTATCCTCTTGCAAGCGTTTACACTGTTCAAAAAAACTCGTCGCCAGCAATTCTTCTAGTTTAAGAACACGCTGCTCCAATCTTAGCATTTCTTCATTTTCAATGCTTTTATCGTACAATCTTTTCCGAGGAATGTCCCCGCATAATTCCAGATTTTCTGTTGAAATCTTTTGCTTCCGGTTCTCTGTATCCTTCGACAATTCTAAATATAACATTTCCATGCGCGCTAGCGTTGCATTATGCGTACTTGCTAATTGATGATTGGCCATGGCCAGCTGCGAAATAATTCGCGAAAGCTCGACGATTTCATTATTCTGTTGACACATTGGATGATCGTGACCATCGGCGGACTGCCAACCTGTCATTTGCGTAGCACACGTTAACTGTAATATAAATAAGCAGTTTGTAATTTCAGATTATAATTCGTTAAAAACTATATAGAATATATCGAATCATTAATTATTCCAAATTAACGATTAATATATCGAATAAAATACGTTTTGAACATTTAGGTACACGAAGTGTACAACACATAGGTCACAAATGATGAATCACGCAATTTCAAACAAAGAAATCTTTGTTTCTTTTTCCGGTTTCTTTTTCTTGTGAAAAATTTCACGCAAATTTACGTTTTCAGGGGAAAAAGATTTTACTGACGTGTTTGAAAGACAATGATCCGGTCTCGACGATTCGCAATAGTATACTGGCATGAAACACAATGCTCCCGCGAATCGACTGAGAATAAGCACGTGATTGCGACCGATGACTGTGGAGACAGCTTTTCGTGACTGTGAGTCAGCGTGTTCTCCCGAAAACGTGGATTGGAGAAGAGCCAGCTTGTCGCGACTAACAGAGGAACCGGCTTTCGCGAGACAAAGCCGCGTAATTTTTCTCCGATAAAACGCAGGTGCAACTTGACGATGGCAATGCCCGAGTTTAATTTAGCTGCCATCGTATACAAGCAAACTGGTCACATAACTATACAGTCGAGACATACAGCAGTTGGTAGCAGTTTAGCAGTATACTTATATCTCGATGTCAATCTTGGAAAAGTATATTTGCCAGATCCGTTGTTTCTTATAATTAATGAAAATAACGTAAAACATAAAATTAAAAATTGAATATAACAAAAGAAAAAAAAGAATGATCAATGGTTTACCAGAGTTCCGCGTTTAGAAGGCAGTACATTCGATAGGCTGGGTGCCGTTGGCCTCTGACCCCAGAATTCGCTAGTACTCAAGGTCGCGTAGGGGTTTAGACCCTGTGTGCCAAAATATTAAATAAATTCATAAAATTTTTCTCTTTCTCTATCTATCTAGCTATCTATCTCTTTATCCATTTCTATCTCTTCAAATACATATATTCATACTTTGGTTTGCAACGTACTTGTGACCGTGGCTGATCCTCGTCTTTGTAGATGCTTGTTCCGACGTACGTTCTTTGTCTTTCGTCGTTCGTGGAACAAGCATCTTCCGGATACAGAGTTTCTACTTCATGCTTGCTCGTAGAGATTAAAGTCGGCGGACCACTACTGCTACTTGATACTCCCATTATTTAAACTTTTCACTTACTATGTACGGAAAATATATGGAGACTTTGATTAATTTTTTCAGTAAATTTTACATGTTAGTATGCTGTTATTCATATTCCTAGTAATGAAATTAATGATCACTTTTTCAGATAGCAAGCTGGTCATTATTTGTCGTTATTTTACACTACTTGGGTTCTAATTATGAGTAATATAAGTATAGATATAGATATATACAATCTTGTGATTGTCTTTAAAATAAATTTGGATTTTAAATGTATCAAAAATGATTTATAAATTAAAATGTAATATGTTTCTCAACAGTACAAACTACATATTTAATGATACATAAGTGTAAAGTTGTAAGAACAAAAAGTTTGGATTGTGTCAGCTTTTATTTTTAGAAACTAGTTCGATCTAAATTGTATCCCGACTCTCTGAAGACTAAGTAGGGTAAAAAGAACTAGATTAATGCAGTAAAAATAGAAACACAAGTCGATTTAAAGTTTCTAATTACGATTCGAGGATAATAAATAATCGTTTGACAAAGGTAAATATAATATGCTGCAATAGTATGCAATACGTTTATACATATCATATAGAAAGATTTGCTTAAATAAGGTTTGATGTATTAAATAAATCAAGCTAGAGATAACAACGAAGATGTGTTTTTACGAAAGTGACAGCCGCACAAGAGAGTTTTCGAATACAGTGAGTCGGAATCCAAGTAAAAGTCGCTCACCAATGATCAATTGAAAAATCGTGAAATTCGTGGTTTCAGCTTCTCCGAGGGTCAACGACGACTCTGTCTGACTGCTGTCGTCGTTGCTAGCGGGCACCGACTCGGATTTCTAAAAATACCATTTCGAAAGACCGCCTGCGCAAAGCCGACGATACATCTTTGCATCGAATTCGTGCGCAGAAGCATCGCTTCAGACTTCCGCGCGTATTTCTCATCTTAGGAAGTCGTCCATCGAGCTCTCTTCCGATAATAAGAAAACAAATTTATGTCAAGAAAGATTTTCCGACAAATATCAAACAGATATTGCGTAGTTTTAATTTCGTATCATTAAAGGTTGATGTCTTTATGTAACGACAATTGATTCTTCAAACTTTTATTTTAACATGAAATTTACAAAATTAAAAAAGATTAATTTAATATTCTAATCACAATTTTTCCAGATTTAGTATTTTCAGATTATTAAAATTGTGTTTAAAAAAAAAAAATACACGTTTATTGTTCCTTAATATTTTCCTAATGAAATATGGCAATAAATCGTTATAAACCGTTGCAAAAGTGGCTTAGGGTACTAACTTGATTTACCTCAGTCCATAAATTGAGCATGCAACATTTCACGCTCTGATGGCGATAGATCCAGGTTTAACGCAGCTTAATCGCCAGAGAACTACAATCTCGTCACATAGGGACGGAGCATGCATGCTGACAGTGCCGAACAATGTACACGTTGCTATTCATATTATGCTTGCTGCCATATCCGGCGCCGTTCAATAAGGCGACTTCAATGTTGAACCACCAAACAAAAAATGATCTCACGTGCCATACTCTCTTCCGTAATGACTTTCAACAGAGTAATGGCGTTACGATTATTCGTCATAAACATTTTGCCTAAACGATGGAAAGGAGATTTCCACATTAATAGTAGAATATGCGAAATGTTTATGACAAATGACCATAATGCAATTTCTCTGCTGAAAATCATCGCACGGAAGAGTGTTTGACACGTGGATTATTTTTGTTTGGTGGTTCAACATTGAAGTCGCCTTATTGAACGGCACCGAATATGACAGCAAGCATAACACGGATAGCAACGTGTACATTGTTCGACACTATCAGCATGCATGCTCCGTCTCTATGCGACGAGGTTGTATAGTTCTCTGGTGATTAAGCTGCGTTAAATCCGGCTCTACCGCCATCAGAGCATGAAATTGTTGCAAATTATCAACCGCCAATTTCGCATCATGGCGTGATGGCGATATTAGCTTTTGGATCGTCGGTTCTCGTCCCGGCCTCCAATACTGGACTCATTAGTAAGGCATTATACTGGATGCCTACCTTATATAGGCCTACCTTATAGGCCTGAGAGTTATTCAATCGAGATTCTATATAAAGAGATATACGCGTGTTAAAGCACTTGCGAGAATTTGCGAATATCGATAGACCTTTGATCGGGGATATAGACCTCTGGCGGGTCGACGTAGTAATATTCTTCGCAATATTTACCTAAAGTAAGAACAACGTCCTATTAATAATTAACCAATATACGTAGTCCCCCAAATTTGCGCGCCAAACATTCGTCGGTCTTGAAACGCAATTCTAATAATCTGAAAAATCCCCCCCAAATTGCGCGCCGAATAATCGTCGGTCTTGAAACGCAATTCTAATAATCTGAAAATACTAAATCTGGAAAAATTGTGATAAGAACGCATATTTTCACCCGCGTAAAGTAGTAGTGAAGGCCGGGACGAAATGCCAAAAATTACGCAATATATCAGAATAAAATTAAAGATTGTAACGAATTTATTGGCTCGTAACCCTGTTTCTCTTTATAATTAGTTTTAACTCAATATAATAAATATTTTACAAACTAAATAAAAATATCTAATTAATATAGATTTGATTTAAAAAATAATTTTGTTGATTTAAGTAATAATAAATAATTCAAAGATTGCAACGTGAATTATTGTCGTCACAAGCTCTATCTTGAGAGATGCAGATCTCACAGTTAACAGAATAAACAACTATTTTAAGGTGCTTTCAAGCTTTCAGACAGTAATTGCTCTCGGAAAATGTAAACGTCCTAACAATAGCTCCACATGTATTCTATGTTCATGTTTCTGATAAACTACTATAGTTCATCAATATAATGACAAATATTCGTCATTGTTATCGCTGCATTTAACATTATATGTCTAATCCAACAATTAAAAGCACTTAGATACATTTTTATTTTTTATCGTATTTTGTCTTTAAAAAGAATAGAAATATGATTTAAATAAAACTTCGTTCCAAAAATTTTTATTTTTCGTGATACAATTTCTAAAATTTTTTAAAACAATTCTACGTGTGTGTATATTAATATTCAATTTTAATAATTTAAAATACATATATAAAATTTTATTTAATATTAACGTATTAACAAAATAATAAAATTATAAGTTAAAATATTCTTATCACCACAAACAAACATTAATCTTTTCTTTTATTTCTAATTTTTCAAAAAAACGGGAAAAGTTCTTTTCATTGTATATAAATATTAAAAATAAAATATAAAATAAATAAAATAAATATAAAACAAAGTGATTGGAGTAAATAATATGCTAGGATCGAAGTACATTTATTTAAAATAATGAAACAGAAAAGGGTTACAAGTCAAAAGTGTCGTTATACAATTGTTAGTAAATAAACGTTGCCATTTCGTTGCCATTTCGTTAGAATCAAACATTTATTTAACAATAAAGACGAATGTCGTAATAAACGCTAACAATTTGCTAACAAATTGATCAACTGCGGATAAAGTAATATTCTATATTATTCTATCATTCCTCTGTAGGTAAAAGGTGCACGTTGTTAAATTTTACCAACAGGACATTCGCTAAGACATTATCGGTAAAGTGTGAATTTCGCTGTAAAGTTATCGAAAAGCGGAAGTGTATCTAGATAACGCATCGTATAGGAATCATTACAAAAATGTTGTTCTGACATCTCATTTCGTTCTTCCTGTTGTGCATTTCGGGTCACGAATGAAAAACAAAATAAATGAGAATTCATTATAAAATTCATAGCTTCGTACTATCTAAAACTTTTAGAGTGAATCCCATTTTGAAAAGTAAAGTCTCATTTTCAAAGATTAAAAATTGAGCTACTCTTTTCCAAGATTAGCTCAATTTTCGCTCTTTAAAGTAATACTCCACGCCAAAGAAAATTTATAGAGTATATGTTTAATAATAAATTCCAAATGAGAGAGACGTGGAGTTTTCGTGGATAATTTGAGTTGCAAATCATATGTATGTATAAATCATTATTTTACACCCGAAGCTGAACACCTCCGCGATTATAGTGTCGCATTACAGCGGTGTGATCCAAGTACTCTGTGTGTGTGTTGTGTGTTATACTTCTTATCCTCTAATATTCCTGAAACATTTATAATGTCTAGATACGCCGCGTTCGACCCGCCAGAATGACTTAACTCCAGGCGCGACGCACTCGCATACTCCGCTCCAATGTGAAGGAGCGCGCGGCCGCGCTCGCGCGTTCCGCTGCCGCACTGCCGCCAGCCGTGTACCGATCGGCTTGGTCTGACAAGGCCGACGCGCGCGTCCGTCAGTCAGCGTTCGCGCACGAATGCGACGGTACGGTCGTCGGTCGTCGTGGCGGGTTTTTACTCGGCGCCGCGCTCACGGGTGCTCCAGCTCGGGAGAGCAGAGCTGACGTTTCTACGCGAAGCGGGAAGAGAAAGTGGTTCCGCTCCTCTATCTCTCTCCCTCTCTCTCTCTCTCTCTCTCTCTCTCTCTCTCTTTCTCTCTTCTCTCATTTTTTTTCGCAAACTTTCCCCTCGATCTTTTTACTTTCCTCTTGCATTCTCGCAAGTCTGTTCACCGAAGGCGTTTCGCTGGGCATCCGTGCTACCGTTGGGGCTGTGACCTGCTTCCGCTCTATCCTCGCAGCGGTCCGACAGGCGGACGAGCACTCGCAGGTGAGAGGCGCGTGGCGCAATATATACGCGGACTCCGCATCGCCGTGACGGATGCGGAGGATCCTCCGCATCGTCGTATGCGCGACAGATTTCCTCCGCCTCAGCGCGACGCGACCGATTTTGGCGCGTACGCGACCATATATCATCGCGCGGCGCATCTCGGGAGAAACGAATCGGGATACGTTTGACAGATCGAACACGTCCCTTTCGGGGTGTTTCGAACATCCGCGGCGAGAATGGCCATTTCCAATCACACGGTACCGCGGACGCAGTGTTACATGCTCGGGATAACACGCAATTAACATTCCATTGCTAGATCGCGCTATTGTGATACATGCGCGGTCCATGTCAAAAGGGTTAAGCGCGATTACTGTGTGAACCGATTACGCGATATGTGTTTGTTGAACAACAGGAAGGATTTATGACCGAAACAATTACCGGTCAATTACGTCGGAAATTTCGCCGAGATACGATCGCTATCTGATAAAGATATAAGTGGACTGATTGCGCGAGACCACGTTCACCAAATTCAATCCTCTCACGCGATCACTGTATATATAGCACGACGAGGGCCGCGCGCCTTTTAATGTACAAACATGGACAATCCGATACGGCGCATTCTATCCGAAGGATATCCCGAGGATATTCTGAGAACGTTCTCAGAACATTCTCTAGACGTCTTTAGGGCATTCCTTGAAGGTCTATGGTGGTAAGGAACGTTAAGTATTCCCGGATCGTTTTGTTCTTTCGTCTCGGCGGTAAATCTCAGATATCGCGGAAGAAGGAGCGTTCGAGGAGCGCGGCACAAAGGTCAAACGCGACCTATCGAGTAGGGGTATCCCGCAGGTGTGTCTGCGAATGTCATCCCAGACACCTGACTCGTGAGAAATCTAATCGCGCAGGTGTTGAACACGCCGATGTGGATCGTCCCTGCCAGCGCAGCAGCGGTATAGAATTTCTCGCGGAAACTCTCCTCTTCATTACGGAAGGTCGAGAAGTCGATGCTCATCGACTACCCGATGTGGCAAGCGGCGCGGCGCGGCGCGGCGCGGCGCGGTGCGCCGCGACCTTGATCGCGCACATCGGCTGCCAGTGTGCCACCGGTATAGAGGTACGCACGGCCTGCGCGTCAACGTCGATAATTCGCGCGCGGCATACATTCTCTCCGCGTGTCCTCGTATACTCGATGTTCCCCCCGCGCCTCCCTCTGCCGCTGAAACGTTCTTTCAGTAGCGGATCGGGGAATTATTTCGGAAAACGCGGAGCTCTCCTCTGTCGCGTTCGATATAGGCCCTCGCGCCGCGCTCCAGTTCACGATTTGCCACGAAAATCGAATCGATATTCGATAAGACGCAATTCGTTTTTTTTTTTTGGGGGGGGGGAAGAATTATTAACTGCGATCACGTATGGTCAGCCTATTACGGTGACCTTTCTCATTTACATTTGCATAGAAATGTATGTCTTCCTTGGAATGTCAATCTGAAAACTTGATGTAATGCTCTACCTGCGCGTGGTTCTCCAAACACTCGAATCAATATATGATTTTAATTGGCTATAATTATATTTCTCAGAATTTCCATATATAAATTACTTTTAATAATAAGCATTCTCGTTTATATCAAGTTCACCAATTAAAAATGATGAAGACGAAACATATGATCTTTGCTCATTTATTACAAAATTATTTTAATATACAAAATTCAATATTACTGTATAATTATTAGACCACAATTTTGTACATTACTTATTTTGATATCTAATCATGAAAAGTAAAAATAATGAAAATACGACGTTGAATGAAATTTCCATTTCAACGATCTGATAATCTTGTCAAGAGCTTAGCATTAACATTTTAAACAGTGCACGTGTATTACTTTGCAATTCTAAATAATTATTTACATATTAAAGATAAATGCATGACGCAATAAAGTTTAACTTGTTATGTCGAACATGTAACTCGTGTGTGTTATATGCTTACTATTTAATCCTACTATATAAATCAATCCAAAGTAACTGCTCCCAAAAATTGTTCTCAAAATTGTGTATCTTATAAGCAGCTCTATAAATTCGGATTAATCCTCATTTTCGCGATACCACGACTATTGGTGGGTCATGCCTGTCGTATCTATCGTGAGGTCGCATATCGATAATATAGGTCATGCATTTTCGGCCTTGCACATTTGGCATCTATATGTTGATTGGTTCGCGCGTCCCTGTGGACCGATTCGGCTGCTGTTCCAGGAGATCTATTGTTCTACCTATATTAGCTTGACGAACTCTAATACGAAGCAACTGTCAATTTGCGGTTGACAGTTTAATTTACTTGTAATGCGTAAAATTGCCTTGTAATCACTGATTACGTATCTTCGCTATTTTCTGTTAAATAGAAAAATTTATTGTTACTTTCATTCGTAGATAGAGTGTGTGCGTTTTTTTTCTTAGTTTGACAATTAAAGTGCAAAAATCTCAGCGAAACTTAATTTAATACATTAATTGCTAAGATTGCCTAACTGTATTTAATCATATCATCTTATCGAAGATATCGAAAAGTCATATTTTCCAAGTATCCTTTTTTAGATTTTTTTAAACAGGTGTTTTATCTGATATAAGAGTATGAAACGATAAACTTCTGCCAATATTTTTGACGCATTCATTACGTCAGCTGTAGATTACATTAGATTACGTACATTTTATTTAATATACGTTATTTAATATTCTCTACTAAAATTCGATATCCATTTGCTTCTAATAGAGAGAGAGAGAGAGAGAGAGAGAGAGAGACAGAGAGATAGATCCAATTCAGGTCATACGTTCGTTCATATAATTGCGTGTCATCTCAATGTCCTTCGGTTCAATGTGTATCGTTGATAATTCAATGTATTAATTTATTCGAACACTTGAGAATAGCAGAACGGTCATCTTTTATTACATCATATTCGTTATTCGTATTTCTAGGCACGGTCATTGCTCGAACGCTTTCGTGACGCTCGAATGATTTATTGTGTCGGGTTATAGCTTTTTATGTCGTTTGGCACAGCTCGATCCTTGTATTTTATATGTGTATTATTCATTACTTTTTAGGTTATATTTCATTATTTTCCGCCTGTCGGCTGCTTTATATATACTTGCAACGAGAACGATATATTTATCTTATTTTGCTTAGCTTGTAAAGTAGTTAAAGAAATAATTACAAGAATCCGACAATTACAAATATAATGCGCAGTATCTGAGTTTGACGTCAAAATACGATGTAGAGCTTTTTTTAAATCGATGCTGCAATAAAGTTTATGAATCCGCCAAAGATAAAAGAACCGTCATACGAGAAAATCGCGCAAGAAAAATAATTGCTCTCTCATAAAGATAACACTATTTTTATTTCTTCCAATGTAAAATGCGCTTGAATTGTAGATCTAACTTTGATATGCTAATGGTAATAATATATATTAAAAAAAACTGTTTTATTAAAGTATTGCAAATTTCAGCTAGATATACAGATCTGAAAATAATTTTGTTCTATTATCAAAACAATTGTGTAAGAAATTCAAGCACCTAATATACCGCAAAAATTTTTACTTTTTAACAATGAGCGTTCTATATAATTATTTTGATAGTTCGACAAATTATTTTCAGAGATGTGTATCTAGTAAATTAAATTTTCAGATACTTCAATAATAACACTATTTTAATATATAATATTTTTAAAATATTTTCTGTTCTTTTCATGTGTATATATATTGTTGCAGAATTTATGTAGACGAATGTATGAATTTTTAAACATTATTTAAGAATATATCTGCATATGATGCAGTAATGTTTACTTCTATCTTTATAATAAAGTTATAAAAATACGTGAATACATATATATATGTATACATTATAAATAAAAAATAAATTTTAATATTGGACGCAGAGCTGATGATATGTACAATATGAATATACATATAATATATATATATAATATATAGATATAAAATTATTAGTTTTGATTGAAGTGCAAGAATTTTCCAATATCGAGACGCTTGAAAAGTATTATATACGGAGGAATATTAAACGTTTCTACTTAATCTCTGATAGTTTCTTACAACTTCTGTTAAAACAATGTTTCTCGTAGGCGTTGGTAGATATTCTGAGATGATGCAGGATATGTTTTTCAACAGTTCCTCCATTTACTCAATAACAAAGTGTCTTTCAGGATAAATCGACAAACAGAAAAATCAATCTAAATGTTATGGATGCCAGAATGTGACTTGTTTTTGAAAGCACAGCGTCGAAACTTTACGAATCATAATTTTGCGCTTTCTTCAATAATAAGTTGGAAAAAATTAATCTACGATTCCCAGTAAAAATAGACGTGAGAATTAATCAGTTGTTTACAGCTATTAGTCGAAAAAGAGAAAATTTGCCATATTTCATAAAACTATTTTATTAAATTGTGACACGTAAAGACAGTAATGTATTTCAGTACGAAAATGTTAAAATATAAGAGAGAGAACAATTAATATTTTTTTATTTTTAACTATAATTTCCTGTTATTAAAGGTTAGAGGCTCTTTAAAGACTCTTGTAATTAGTTTTAAAAAACTGACGTGGAATAAATTATTTGTTAATGACTGCGGCTTATTCACCGATAGTCTTGAGTGTCAGGAAAAACATTGTATGATATAATACACCAAATATGTCATTGCCATTGTGTGTTAAACGTCATCATGTGATACATAACTGGCGCTTTACCAATACTGTCGCATTTGTGCTTCAAACAGATCATTAAATCAGAAACATCTCTCAAAAATGTCAGGGATAGAGAGAAGAATGAAATTTCTCGTTTAAGTTAAAACGTAAACTCTTATCTAGGTGAGAACGAAGTAGTCGGAAGCATGAAATTCCTATGTTAATTACGATGGATATCTGAATTAAAAATAGTTCAAATTTTTATGATGAATTCAGACATATCTATGGTGACAAATCGATATTACTAATATTTAATAATAATTAATTTGATTG